TATATATATATATATATAAAACACACACACACCTATACATATATTGTGAGAATAATCATGTAGTAATTCTATTAATGTTTACATCTTTCCTTATACTTCATATACAAGAGGCCATGTTCTGCATGACATGACTATTTGAATAAACTGCTAAGCTGATTTGATAAGCATATAATCACATGGCTCTTAAAAGGTAGCAGTTGTAGATTGAAGAGAGTCATGTCTTTCATCACGGTCTTGTTGTCTGCACAACATCTCTGCCCCCTGTGGCAGTGTGTAAAGCACCTGCCAGTAGCATCTTGTACATGATTCTATTTTGTGCTGCTTTGGCCGCCGTGGTCATTACATGAGATCAACACAAATCATGTTTGAGTGATTGTTTGCTTTAAAACTGGAATCTCTCAGAGCATTCTGCCAACCTTGATCACTGTTGTACTGTAAATAGAGTAGCGCATGCACTGGGAACTTGTATGTTTGCACACAATGTTGCATGCAAAAATTTTGCAGAAGTAACACAGGTCAATAAAGTCAAATAAAATCAATTCATGTGTGGTGTTCAAACCAACTTTTTCCATGGGTGTGATGCCTCTGGTCATGGGTGGTTGATGTCAGTGAGAACTAAACTGAATGAATAGTCATGACCATCAGATGAGTTTAAAAACATTTATAATGACTGGAAAATTTAATCATACTAATTTTAAGTCATTTCATCCATTTTGAATCCCCACCATCTTGTCCCATCACTGGAACACTGTACCATTAGGTACACCTTTACAACCTCATGAGTTCTGTCTATGTATGGTGTCCTTCCTCAGGTGGATTCTAAGGATCGGGTGACATTTTCCACCATTAATGACCTATAATAACTCAACTCAGTTAAAATTAAAATATTTTAGAGATGGAAAGTAAAAAATAAACAACTGCGATAATGTGGTGGCACAACAGTGCACACTGGGGATGTGCAGTATCTGAATTCAGCTAAAGTAAATGGTACAAAGTAACCTTGGAAGATTTCTGCATTACTATACACCAATGGATATAATCATATTCCCAGCAGCGCTATTTTGCAATGGTGATGCCAGGTACATGACCAAATGATGACATATAGCCAGACATGTTCTTTATATGATCTGGTTATAAAGTGTAGTTAGTATAAGCCAGCATTTATATTGACATGCTGTATCTCAAACATTGATCACTCACTTCTAGCACCTTGTAAGAATCCACATTTCTTTGTTTGGGGCACACATACTAAGGCTACATGAGCAAAACAGCAAGACAATTAATGTAATAGCCTTTTTTTTCCTCTCTCTCTCTCATTCTCTCTCTCTCTCTCTCTCTCTCTCTCTCTCTCTCTCTCGCTCTCTCTCGTTCTCTGAGTCAGTTATTACATAGTAGGTCACAAAGTATTGTTTCATTTTCTCAATTTAGAATGACCCTTGCAGTAAGGGCCTTGCTTGTCTGTATTTCAATTTTACAGCTTGTTTGGTCAGATTGATTGCTCCTAGCAAGCTGATATTTCCTTTTCCCCTCTGATGGATTGTGAATCTCAATATAATTTTACACTATCAAAAGAGAGAAAACAAGGCAGAAGAAAAATGTGTCTTAATGTTAGTCTGACATTGGTTGCAACAAGTCTTCCCTAAATTTGCAGATAAGGTTGACTTCTGTTTGCTTGTTACATTATTTCTCTTTTCTAGCTGTTCTGTTGCAAAGACTTTGACCTACTTAAAGCTCTTACAAAGATAAAGAAGACACTGCTGGCGTGCAGCATTCAGGCAACGTCAAGGAAAAGGATTCCTGTTCGCTTTATGTGCAAGGCCCAAGGCTGGAAAGAGAACTGACATAAAGACACCTAATTATAGACTAAACTTGCAATAACAACAACGAATTTGATAGGATTTACATTTCATGCTTTTCTGTTGCATTCTCTTGCTAGATATCTGATGGTGGGTTCGTGGCTGTACGGATGGATGGATAGATGGATGGATGGAAGACAGCATAATCACCAAAGAGGTTGATTATTAAATGTATGGTACGATATTGTGCAAAACTTGATTTGCTTTAACCAACACGTCAGAAGAAGGAAGAATTCAGATGTTATTTTGAGGCATACAACAAAAGCCCTTGAGGTGAATTTTACACCTAATTGGTTAAAGAAACATTCATATTTTTAAATAGGTAAATTCCATTGGCCAGCTCTCCTGATTCCGAAGACCTGGAGCAGATTAGACTTATTTGGTGGCACTTACATGGGCTCAAATTTTATTGAACAAAACAAACAAACAAACAAACAAAAATATCTAACATCTACATGCGCATGCTGGAACCAGTGTAAAAAGGAGAACCCTAAGAAATTCGGTAGAGAAAATGAATTATAAATAAATCGAGATCACAAATCTAAACTAAATAATATTGAAGATGGTCCCAATCACCAGAAGACAGACTCAGCAGAGTGGAAGATGATGAGATTTTCTGGATAAAACAGGAGCTCATCAGAGTGACAGCGCAGATTGAGAAATTTTAAGAGAGCTGAGACTGACATGGTTTGGACATGTTCAGTGGAGGAACAGTGGGTATATTGGCAGAAAGATGCTGAATATGGAGCTGCCAGGTAGAAGGCAAGGAAGAAATAAAAACATGGATCGGGAAACGATTTTAAAGTAGACTATACATCTACTGAAAAAATGTGATACTTTTTGAAGCGCATTTAGGGAGGGGGTCCCCTTCAAGCCGTACAAAAATCTTATGAGGAACAAATATTACGATGAACGTCACCCATATAAGTGATAATTGCACCGTTGACCTTAAGTTAAATAGCTGCATCGTGTTGGTGGACTTCCAAACTTGACCTTATGGCCCGCAGTGCATGTTGGGAGGAGCTTGTTGGCCTTGGAAACATGGCGTCGCACTGACAGCTTGGATTCTCATACATTATCGTCTTCAGCCACTCAGTGGCTGAGCCATACACGGAGCTGCTCGAAGGGGTCATTTTTCTTTCAAAAAATATCGATGACAAACGCAATATTTGTCCCTACCCGACTGTCGCTGTAAAGGCGTGGCGCTCGAACGAATTTAGTGCGAGTGTCACGCCCACTCTGCTGGGTAACGCTAACGAGTCGACGCCGCACGGGTAGCTAGCTCCGCTTGCAGCTAGCCGAAGCAGACAGCTAGCAGCAGCAGCGACAGTCACGGACGGAAAAGGCGCAGACATGGGATGTGAACAGGACCTGTCATCGCTCTCTTTTCGCCGTGTGGCTGCGGTCCGCTAGCTTGCAGCCTAGCACGGCGCGTTCTGTCAAAACACCGTCGTCAAACCGGACGGACTTGCCAACACTATATTGTTATTGTACAGCAGCCGGAGCCAGGGCGTTTTCTGTCATTCTGGCACTGAATTTTTAATGTTCGACCCTTTTGGCATAATTGTCGGAGGAGAGAGCGATGGGCTCCGGGGCTGTGGACTCATCCCAGTGGCTTTCGGTGAAAGAGGAAACCATTTTTCTCCACGATGGCCTCATTCGGGTCACAGATCTGGCCGAACTCCCGAGTGAAATTGGAGTGTCGGAGCAGGGGGACACCGAGCAGGAGGTGAGTCGAGTCACACGCCCATGACGCTTTGTCTTTCATACGTGTTTATAAATGGAACACGCAAAGATGACAGCGGCGGGCGTTGGTTCAGCTTCTATATAGAATGTGTTTTGCTGTCTGCGGCAACACACCCTTGATGATATCGATATCGCGCTAACGTTTGCAACTTTCCCTGCCCTGCTTGTTATCTACACACTGTCAGTTTACTTGTTGTGCATGTGTTTCCGGTAGTTTCTTTCGGAATAAAAGTATTTGAAACAGCCATTTAAAAAAATATTTTGAATGTAACCATTTGAAGGAAGGATTCATTAATTTTACACGTGTGCCTTGGTTGATAGTAATTTAGCTTGGGAAAACGCATAAAAGCTGAAAAATACACTTCTGTATTGATATTGCAACACCCTCGTTTGTATTTAAAGTACAGTGGTACCTCTACTTACGAAATTAATTGGTTCGGGAAGACATTTCTTAATTAGAAAATTTTGAAAGTAGAGACGCGTTTTCCATGTAAATGCGCTAATCCGTTCCAAAGCCCCCCAAAATTCAGACATATGTTTTGTAAAGCATAAAAATGCATCAAATATGTAACAAATGCATGTTACTATTAGATTACTGCACAATAAATGAGAGTTGTGCATAATGTAAAAAACAAAGAATAGCGTAAAGAATAAAAATGGTTATTTAACTTTTAACTGCATCCTCATCATTGTTTTCCCTCTTTAGTTCATGTTCTATCTCAGAAGTGGTTTTTGCCTGGCGTTTTGTAAAGAACTGATCCAAGGACGTTTGCTTTTAACAATCTTTCGAAATTGTCCAAGGCAAAACATCAGTGTCGTGAGCAATCGCCCGACTGGTGACCAATTTCCCTGAGTGATTCACATTTACGTTAAACTATCGAAGCGCTTCATGGCCCGAGGGGCGAATGACGAGGACGCTGCATACAGTAGAGGTCCCTCTCAATCAATGGAATGCCAGTATGGTGCTAGGTAATAGCCAATGGCAGAGCGGCTACAAGTATGTTGCGTTCAGGAAATTCGGAGCTGTGAGTAGCAGCCCAACCTGTATTTATTTTTACCTTTTGTATCTTGAAATTTCTTTCACAACAAGAGGCAATATTTTCCTGTTGAGGCATTTCGTAACTTGAAAATTTCGTATGAAGAGACGTTCGTAAGTAAAGGTACCACTGTATGACACAGTTGCCATTGCTCTTCAGTTGCTTCATTCCCACAAGTTGAAACAGAATGCACATTCATTCAGGAGCTGCTATTGGCCACAGCTCCCACCTAGTCATCCAACACACTCACTGCCTGCTTCAGCCAATGGCGCACATACGTTTTCATCTGAATCTCTGTTCCTTTGCTCTTCCCTCTCAAAGACATCACATACGAACTTAGAACAAAACTAATAAAGAGCATCTAAGTATTTACAAGCATGCTGGGAAGTGTGCGGCTTCACCATCGCTATTCCCTACAATATATTTGACTTTTAATGGCAACATTTTCAATGCACGGCAGTGGCGGATGCTGGTCTGTCAAGAAGGGGAAGCTGAATTTCGGGCTACATCATAAAATGTGTCTGTTTATTTCTACGTGAATTCTACTCTCCGTTCTTTTTCAAGAAAATGATCTGTGACCCTGGCATACCAACAAGGCGTCTTTTCCAGGTTCTTAACTGTGGTGATATAAGTCAGTCTGCGAACACAAGCAACTACAATAAAACACACCAGAAATAAACGATTAATCTGTCGCTAGTCATTTTCAACAAAGAGAGCGTTGCCATTCGAGATTACTAGAAGTCTCCAATTCAACTCAGAACAGAATGAGAATTGAAAAATGCTCCCACGGATGCCTACAGCAAAAGATCGGTGATTGGCTCATTTTGCTGTCAATCATAACGAGATTCCGCCTCAGACAGATCATCCAATCCTCATGCAGAAAGCTCAGCGTCCGGCGGGGCCGATACACGCCCACTGTCCATAGACTCCCAGAGACGCCGGGCGTCCGTGGGCGGGACAAAAACCAGTTTGTATCCAATGACTCGTCTCCGTTCAACGCATTGGGACAACGTACCCTGAACTCTCGAGATGCCCGGCGTCCGGGTAATAGACGCTCTGCGGTCGCTCGCCGTCCACCGTTTAAAGCACAGCGAAGCTGCGGGAATGAATGAGAAGGGAGTCGCGTCGTAACCATTAAGACGTGTCGTACCCAGTAAGAAGAAGATGATTCGGAACAAAAGTTGAGCACGTTGTAGCGCATATTTTGTTAATGACATGTACACACAATGAAATTTACATTCATATATTTGATCACTTGTTCTTTGACATTTTAGGGGAAGCCGAGCTTCCCTTGCAGTCCGAGAGCAATCGCCACTGATGCACGGGCATGTCCATATAGGGTCCAACGAGACGTGACTTGTGCAAACTCGTTGCATTACAATAGACAGACATTGGATGAGGAGGACACGAAAAAAGTAACGCCAACATGAAGTGCAAAAAATTGCAAGGGCTTAACTGCTGGCATTTTATTACACAATGTTTACAAAAAGTGTACTTAAGCGATTGGTCGCAGCAGGAAATAACATCAGGACGAAGGGTGAGGAGGGGCAGTACAGCAGGTTGGCATATATATATATATATATATATATATATATAACAGCCTACATGTGCGGGTGTTATTTAATTAATTTTTTTTTTACAAATTATTGACCAATCTAAAGTGTTGGGGGAAAAAGTGACTATGAAATGTTAATGGTCGAACAGCTGTTCCGTTTTCTGCTGACCTCTTTAATGGGGTCCTGACATCATTTTAGGGGTGAAAATGAATATAGTTGTCAGATGTTTGATTTGGGCAAAAGATGTAGATTGGTAGGCTGATGGAGAAAAGGATTGTTAAATTAGACAGCATGCACAAATTGAAGTATGTTTTTAGCGTAAAGTGGCGGTTCAGCCTTGGAAGCATCATAATCTTCAAACAGGGTACAACATTTTTATGTAATCATCTTCATTAATATTCACATTAGAATGAAGCCAACGTATCATTTGGCATATCGCCATATAGGATGCAGTTATCCGATATGGAGCAGAACAGAAGATTTCTTTCTTAATTAAGTTACAGCAAGACTATCCTTTGTGTCAACAAAACCTGACATTCCTGCTCAACCTATGTCTTCCTCTAGGTTGTCCTCTAATTTCTTTGTTTTTTTTGCCATTGTCCCCCCCACCCCTTCTCTTTCTAACTCTGTATGTGCTAAACTCTAAAAATTCATAACTGTTTTGGATTGTGTTGTGATGCTGACTATGTTCCATCCAGCAGCAGCAGAAGTATTTCTTAGAACAAGGCGTAGAGGGCTAGGTCTCCAGTTAAAGACTTTTATCGTAACATTAGTAGCATTCGTGAAATGTAATCAATACAAATTGTGCCTGCTAAATGCTATAATAGTTTTTTTCCCTAGTCCTTTGTTCATAGGCCTCACATTCTAATCGATGGCTGAAATGCTGCTTAAGTGCACATAAAGCACATTGTTTCAGTGGACTGTGTCTTGACTATTATTTCCCAGAGAAAAGAACTATAGACATGATGGTGCTTTTCCCTTGATTGTATTCAAAATGGCCCTTTTTTTAGGGAACATTTTAATTGAACTAAGGTTTTGTCTCCTTGGGGCCCTTTTGCATTTAAACTGGGCCTTATGAGATTTATTTAAATGTTTTTTCTGTGTGTGTGTGTGTGTGTGTGTGTGTGTGTGTGTGTGTGTGTGTGTGTGTGTGTGTGAGTGTCAGTGTCAGTGAGTGACATAATTAACTTTTTCATTTTTCTCATCCCCCACCACTGTCCTTCATTCCAGATTCTGACATTTGAGACGAAGAACCCAGTTGAGCTGGCCGAGCGTCTACGTGCAGTCTGTGGAAATCAGAGTAATGCTTATGCCCGCCTGCTGGAATACCGACTCAATGCTCTGCGTGGCCTGTGGGGGGCACAGCGGCAGCTGGCCATGGAGGAACAACAGGAGCGAGAAGGGGCCGGGGGTGCTGATGAGGAGACCTTGGCCTTGCTCAAAAGACAAGGTCTGCTCCAGCAGCCTGAGCAGGCTCCCTTTACCTCCCGTGTCGGCCTGCTGCTGGTCTTCCCCCTTCTACAGTCACAGACCCGCAGTGACCCGGCGCTCTGTGGTGTCACCGCGGAGGTGCTGCTGTCCTGTCTCCGGGACTGCCAGCCACTCAGTCTCAGCAAAGAGCCTGCCGACTGCCTGAATGGCCTGGAAGGGCTGCTCTGCTCCTGGTTGGAAGATGGTGCTCAGGAGTCCATCCAAACGCAAAAGGCCGTTCAAATGCAGATTCTTCGCACTCCCAGAGATCGGGAAAATGCTGCTGCTGCACTGGTTGCACTTGCCTGTGCCAGGTGAGCACAGAGAGATATGTTGTGTGATTTTTATTTTGCCTCACTCCCTCAAAAAGTTCTAGTTATTATTATGTTTATATGGTGCTAGATAAAAAAAAATATTCTGGCTGTAATTCGACTGAATCAAGACAAGACACCCAAGTCTGACTGAATTTCTCAGAGTTAAGCTAACAGACCTAATTAATGGGTTGAGACGGTCATCAACCACTGTGCTGGAGTCGAGTGTGTGGTCCAAGAGCAGTATTTGCCTTCATAAAATGTACTCTATACATAATTGTTGTGCGTCGACCTAACAGAATTAAAGCATGCAACATGCACAAGACGCTGTCCATGTTGGCTGGCTTGTTTACATACAGTGGACCTAAAAAGTCTGTGCACCTTCTTCAAATTCTGTTTTTGTCATGTAAAAAAAAATTACAAAATATTTTTCACCGTTAATATACAGTTATAATCTCTGCAATTCAGTTGAGTTAAAAATATGTTCTGGGGAGGGGGGGGTGGTGGTGCACTATTCTGGTTGCATAAATGTGCAAAACTTCAAACTAATACTTTGTTGCAGAATCTTTGGCTTTTATTACAACACTTAATCTTTTTGCGCTCGGAGTCTTATCAGTGTGTGTTATCTTAATGTGGCAACATTTGCTCTCTTCAAAAATGCTCCAAATCTGTGAGATTGCAATGGCATCTCTCTTTTCAGATCAGCTCACAGATATTGGATCATATTCAGGCAGGTCTCGAGTCTGCTTCGGTCATTCTAAAACCTTCATTTGTTAAAGCATTTTGTCGGATAGGATGTGTGGTTTGCGTCAGTGTGTGGATGAAAGATGAATTCCCACTTCAGCTTTCTAGCAGAACCCGTAGCTGTTCAGAATTCCCTCCATCTTAACTAAGGACCCATTTCCATCTGCAGAATAACCTCAAAGCCCGGTGCTACCAGCACCCTTCTTCAATTTTGGGATGGTGTTTTTTTTCTGTTGTTGTTGTTGATGAGCTGTGTTACAGCTTTTGGAATTACGACCACAAAGTTCAACTTTGGTTTTCATTTGCACAATAACACATTTTCCCACAATAAATTTAGGAGCTCTTAGGTGTTGCCACCCTACCTCATAGCCTAGGCAAATGAAGAAGACGGGAGGTTGTTGTCACATGTAGTGAACAGCCAGTACTTGCCAGAAAAGCCCTGAAGCTTCCTCAATGTTACTGTCGGCCTCTTTGCAGCCTCTTCAAGCAGTTTTCACCTTTTCAATAATTTTGAATGGACATCCAGTTCTTTATAATGTCACTGCAGTGCCATCTGTTCTTCTCTTAGTGATGACCCGCTTCACTGTGTTCCAGTGATTACTTAATGCCTTGAAAATATTTTGTACCCTTCTCCTGACTGTTACCTTTGAACAATGAGATCTTTCTGGTGCTGTGAATGCTCTTTGCAGGATCAGGCCTTGTGCCCATATGGATCTCAGGAAAAGCCTACTAGAACAGCTGAACTATATTTGGGGTTAATCTGAGGCACTTTAGATGGTGACAAGTGTGTGTTGACTACCATTTAACAAGGCTTTGAATATGATTGGTTTAATCTTAACACAGCCATGTCCCCAATTCGAGGAGAATGTGCACACTTGTTCGATTGCATAATTGCACTTGTTCAGTTTTACGTCCCCCCTCTAAAATCATTATTTTTCTCCCCACTCGATAGAGATTATACATCACATTAATGGTGGGAAGAGTTTTGAAATGATTGTTCTTGGTCCCATTTATTTTTACCGCAAAAAATCTGGTGTTTGAACATAGCTGTGTAGACTTTTCATGTATTTCATGTACCAATAGATCTGTTGGATTCCTCTACTTGTAAAAAATGTCATCCGATTTAATTGTCTGATAGAGGAACCGTGGTAACTTGACTACATCGTGTGTCAACATTTTGACTGCCTGCATAATTCTTAAGTTAGAATTAATGGCAAGTTTTTGAATAGTGTCGCGACTGAAAGCTATTTGAAGAAGTAGTGCTGTTTCCAACAAATTATGCCTGAATTGCATGCAATTTGCCTGTCCTTGGAACAGTTATGCAAGGATACACAAAGTGGTGTTTGCTACAGTGTTTTGATGGAGTAGCTTCTGATGTAGTGACTTCCCTTCCTGTGTAGTCAGAGTACTCCTTTTTAAAGAAAATCCGAAAATCTTTTGCTGTAGGTCATCAAGCCGGTAACTTGTCAAGAGATAGGAGGCCTTGTGGGCCTGTGTTGTGTGAACAGTAAACTTACCAGTTTTGTACAAGGTGTTTTTGTGTATGTCAGTCGGACAACTGCTTCAGCTTCTGCTGGTGACAACTGATCTTGACTTGTCAAAACCAGAACCCTCTACATTTTGTTCAGCCTTCTATTGGACCGGCAGCTCTTTGTTGTCAGGAAGCATCCAGCCCTATTGGTAAATTTACCATTTGGAAGGTTAAGTAACAACACAGAAAAGATCTTCGATAGTCTTGTTTGCCTGCCATGATGTCACCGTGTTGTTGTCAAGTTGGACGAATGCAACGTATTTGTAATAACACTGGCCATAATAACATTGTAATCGGTGTTATGATCAGAAAATCTCAGTGCACAGATCATTTGCTGTGAATACAGATTGCTTTATTGCGTGAAATACAGGGTTCCATCTCGGATATGCCACTGCACCAAATGCACATTTCCTGTAGTCTGCAGTATGACACTTGTGATATGTCAATGTTATCAAACAATTGGTCTCATTGTAATGGCAAAGTGACACTATTTATTTCCAGGGGATCTTTAAAGACCTTCATCCACACAGTGCACCTACTGCAGAAACAGTCGGATCTGGGCCAGCTCCCAGTGTCAGATGTCCTGTTCAGGTAATGCTTTGTTGTTGAATCACCAAATAATCGACTGTATAAGTGACTTTCCCCTCCATGGAAGTAACCCTTCATTTTTGCTTTAGGCTTTTACTCTTGGAAGGAGGGCCGGGCTCTTCATCATGCCTGCTCGGGGGGAAACACAGTGTGTCATGGGGATTTGAGGATATGCTACCTACACCTGATAACTCTGCTGGAGGAGCTGAGAATAAAGGTAAAGACCTGATTACATTCATTTATTATTATTATTATTATTATTACATTCTGGCATTTTGTTTTTGTTTTTGACAAATTCTGTGGTTTTGTGCTGTAAACTGTTTTTACCTTATGCACAACAATTTAACATGGCTAAGGGAGGCATTCCGTGTTATGGAGAAACTGAGGAAATATATGTTCAGCAGGGTGTTAAAAGGTGAAATCCAGACAACACAGTGATGACTCACAAAGAAATGGAAAAGAAGGTTTCTCAGAACAATAGAAGTTGACCACGGGTGTTCTGTATATCCATAGTAACAATTTTGCATTTATGGTACTTTAAAAGCTAGCACTAGAAGATCAAGTCTTCTTTCCCCGCATGTGTGCTGGCAGTATAGTTGTGAAATGAGTACAAGGCAGCTAGCAGCTAGCTTATTAATTCTCTCGTTGTATTGATTCTCCTTTTCATCGCAACTAAATGTCCTTTCCCACCTTGTAATTATTTGTTCCCATTTCTCACAGACACCGACCTGGGGCGCTGTCTGGCCACAGACGGGCTCTACCTGTACACCACTAACTCCTCTGGGAGAGGAGTCAGTAAGCTCGGCTCTGGCTTACATGGAACACTAAGGTAACACAACACATGCCTTTATTCTACAGCATCCTACCAAAAAAAAAAAAAAAGAGTAAGATGCTAAATATATCGTGTTCATCTCATCCATCACAATAATGTCTGCATTCTTTCCTGTATTTCCTAAATAGATATCAGGCAGCTCGGAGTCATGTCCTGCCTGAATGGCTTTGATTGATTAGTTTATGGGACAACAAGGCACTCTGTACCCCTGCATTATTTAATACATGATGTGGTTGGATCCAATTTATATCGATATTTTCACTGCATTCAGAAATGAGCTCATTCAACGTTAAACACACCTCTCAGTGAGTTAAAGAGCTAGCTCCTGCTTGGACTAGACTGTGTTAGTTCCTTCTAACTCTTAAGTCATCATCTTTAGACCATACATTCTTCTATAGAATAGTGACCGAAACCCAAGCACATCCTAGATCAGCTATAAAACAGGCCCTCCTCTTGTTGAAATCGCTATGACTTCACACATTTCCATCTGGATGAAGAAAGCCAACACACATTATCCAAAATCAAAAAAAGGTCTTTCCTGAACTCTACTCCTCTTTTAGTTTCCTGGGCCTGGGGTAATGGCCACGTTTTCCCAATATTTTGTTAAATGCAGTGTTTTGTGGTTTTGCAGGCTTATCAGGTTTCTGTTTTCATCATTCCATCCTTTCAAAAATATATTTTGTAAAAAAAAAAAAAAAAAAAAAAATTCTAGCAGTGCGTTTGTGAAGAAAGCCAACACACATTATCCAAAATCAAAAAAAGGTCTTTCCTGAACTCTACTCCTCTTTTAGTTTCCTGGGCCTGGGGTAATGGCCACGTTTTCCCAATATTTTGTTAAATGCAGTGTTTTGTGGTTTTGCAGGCTTATCAGGTTTCTGTTTTCATCATTCCATCCTTTCAAAAATATATTTTGTAAAAAAAAAAAAAAAAAAAATGGCAATTTGTCACTGACTGGTTGGCCACCCCTGGACTAAATTAACAAATTATCGATACTGGAAATGTTGTGATGATCTTGTTTCTAGCTATCCATTGACTTTCTAGTTTGGGAAACAATACCATCCTTTTGGGCAAGCATTATTTTCAATGTTGTGGTTTTCTAAATTTTAAAGACTTACCTTACACGATTAATGCACTCTGCTTCTTCACACTCACAGGGAATAAAACAGTGTCGAGCGGTGATTCCCAACCAAGGTGCCTTGACATCCTAATTAAATACTCACTAACCGAGTGTATAACCTGTGACGGTTTCACACTGAGTCAATGTGTGAGTAAATCCGGACACGACAAAGAACGGTGGATATCTGAAGCACCTTAGAAACTGACTAATCGATGGGAGATTGCAAAAATAAACATGAACATGTAATACAGTATGAACACGTCTACAAATACGTGTATATGAAGAAAATGTGATTTTATAAGACATGAAACAAACAACTGCAGTGTTCCTACTTCATCTCTGAAAACATTCAGTCAGCAAATGTTATTCGCCATCGGCAACTACCAATGTCACCGACGAAGCCAACGTATGTGTCTTCTATTTTCACAGTTGGCCATTTTAGGCATATATCTCCAAATGCAAAATGGCAGTTGTTTTCAAAGACTGCCTGTTTGAGACAAGTTTTGAAAATATTTGCCATCGCAGGCATCAAAACGCTGTTGTCATGTAAGCAAAGTGAGAGTGACTTTTTCTCTCGCGTGTTTTCAACAGTAGCAGTTTTCATTACATTTTTGACATGTTCAAAATTCTTTTCCTCAAAGTAATCGATAGATGAGATTGAGCGATGATCCCCTCCTTTCCTCGTGCAATCCCACTCTCCTCTTTTCTCTATCCCTTCTTCTCTCGAGGGAGTTTTAAAAGCAGGCCAGGCTGGGTTACCTAATCCCATTGCTTTTAAAAGGTTCCTGGGTGCTGCATACATGAGGGTCACCTTGTAGGATCAGCCGGACACGAACATGCATGCACGCACGCACGCACAGCGCTTGGGATCATTCCAATTTCCTGGCTTTTAAATGGTTATAGTGGACGGCTTGGACTTGGGCTTGAGTGGAATTCCAGGCCATGGAAAATGTTTGTTTGCATGCCTGTCTGCAAGACAGGAGATGCAAGCAAGCGATTCCGCCTTTTAATTTTTTTTCCACTTCAAGTTCAAAAGGATAAATGCAAATCATCAGTAATGGACGCTGATGTGTTTGAGACTAAAAAAAATTTTCATTTTTAAACACAGCCACTCGGTATAAGTGATCATTATATTTTGTAAAAAAAAAAAAAAAAAAAAAATTCTAGCAGTGCGTTTGTGGCAAGTGATGAAAATGTGCTGTAAGCACAAAGGTGTGTGATTCAATTGCACAAAGTGCTAAAATGAAAGTTCTGCATCTGTTTGTGCAGGGGGTTTGTTTACTGTCGAAACGAGGAGTTGGAGCCTGGTTGGGTGGTGTACAGCAGTTGTCGCCTTCTCCACCGCCCTTCTGCCTTTGACACCAAGCCTCAGCAGCTGTGCCAGGTCATTGACCCCTTCACGTTACAGGTAATGCTCCATCAAATCGGCCAGCATGAGAGCTGGAAACAGGAATGATTTAATAGTTATATCATCTCCCGCATCAACACAAATGAATCCTGTTAACATAATCTCATGTTCATGCTGTTGTTTTTTAGGTTTGTCAGATTGTCCCCATGCCAGCCCATCACTTTCCAGTGGGTAGCAGCTTGACTACGCTGCATCTCTGCTCAGATGGAACCTACCTATATTGGGTGTGGTCGCCGGCCAGTCTCAACGAGAAGACCCAGAAGGGCCATTCAGTCTTCATGGATGTCTTTCACCTTTCTGTGAGTCATTTCACTGCACCATTTAGTGATTTTTAATAAGCTTATAATATTTGTTCAGTGTTTGATGGGTTCTCTGCCTATGTTCATGATACAGACACAGACAGGACTGTGTGTTGCCGACATCTTGCAGGAGAGAGTTATTCTGACTCGCAAAGAAGGCGAGTCTTCCAAGTGCTTGAATGAGCTTCTTTTGAGTCGAATGTCTCGCTTCCGGGCCTCACATTCTGCCACATTGGCTGCTCTCACAGGCTCTACCATCACAAACACTGTCAAAGAGGAGCAGTCTGGTAAATTCGTCGGCTTAACAATCCTAAAGCCAGTCAACTTCAATGCTTAAACAATATCTTTAGAGTTTCTTGTGTCATAGCTCTCCTCGGTTTTTCATCTCCATAGCTGTCAACACAAGCTGTGGACTCCCTCTGAAGACTCTGAGGAAGACCCCAATGTATGTGTGTGGAACATACTTAGTGATGCTAGTCCCGCCTCCTGGTGTATCTGGGAGCTCTGCTACACGCTCACTGTTTGGAGGCAGTAGTAGCTTGTCCTCTCTGAAAAGTAAGAGCACATTGACACTGTCATTGTCAATAATATTTTTGGGGATTATAGCTCAATTAAAGGTTTGAAGCGCTCCACTAAAACGTCCTCCTGCTATTTCAGTATTAGCCTCTAGTTTAGTCTTCAACCTTGCTGATGGCCAGTTCAGCAGCCGCGCTGACCTCATCGATGCCCCTGGCAGTTCCCTAGGCAGAGGAGCTCAGGTGGCAGGACTGGGTGAGCACTACTACTGTCCCAAATGAGTGTTGCAGTGTACATTAAACTAACTGCCATTTTGTTGTGTGACCTTTTAGGAGCATGTTATGATGCACTGAACAACTTGATCTGGACTTGCTCTAGCGATTACATAGATCAGTGGTGTAACCCGGGGAATCAGGCCTTTCATCATGTGTGCCATAGGTTGGGTGTGAGCCATATCATAAGAGAACCCAAAGGTTGCAATTTAGCTGTTGAATCTGCAATATCACTGTTGCATGATTTAGTAAACCACAAATCTCATATACCCAGGCATTATTAGTGTATATTTGAAAAATGTTTTCCCTCTTTTCACAGAAGAAATGATGGCTACCAATGAAGTGATCAATCAGCTACTTCATCATGTAGGTGCCATGTGTGTCCACCAACTTAACCTGCTAGCAGCCAGCAGTAACAGTCTGCCCCTGGGTGCCCTGCTGGGCAAACAACATCCTATCGAGGCCAGTCACTTTAGCAGCATCTGTGACATAATGGAAAAGGCCATGGTCAGTGGAGATACCAGCATCATCCGCTGTGTTTTGGTCGTGTTTCAGGTTAGTTTTCTGTGACTTTCACTAAGATGTATTGAGCCACTTTCTTCATTTAATTTGTTTTAAAGTTATCGTTTCTACATGCTTTGTTTTCTCTAGGTTGTATTTAGGTTCTTCAACCCTCAATCAGAGCAGAACAGAGAAAGTGTGCGTAGGGCAGGCCTGCTCTTATGGCAGCTACTAATGGCTCCGGTGGATCAAATAGGGGCTGAGATTCAGAGAGAGGTGTGCTTGGCCATCAGGTAAATGTGATTGTGTTTTAAATATTATATACTCCTTCGGCCTCTATTGGAAAAAAAAAATCCTTTAAAAAACATTTGTTTACTGTTTCTCTTTTTCTGCAGCTCAGGCCTAAATACTTTGTATCAGGGGGAGACTGAACTCAACAAATTGCTGAAACTTGTTTTAAGTGAAGGTGCTGAAATAAGATTATTTCAATAAGCCAGAATGCCAGTATCCTTTATAAGTAAACATTTTCTTTGATTCTCAGGTGAACGGAATAGTGGGCTGTCTCAGCTTCGGGATGTCATCCTCACCAACATGGCTGATCTACTGCAGAAAAATAGGTTTGGAAGTGAAGAAGATGACCACTATAGGTGAGGGCATCCATCTTGTACAATCTTATAGAGATGGGCGATATGGGCTGAAAAAAACCCTCCAATGATAACGTGATCATATTCTTCTAATAGTGCAGTACCCCAGTGTGTTGGCTTTTCATTGAGCGACAAGTCATAAAGCTTTTAAATTATGTGACTTCACATACAGAACATGTGAAAAGCACTGGTGATGTATTGTCATATGCTGCCTTTCATGCAGATGCCATGAGTTTGATTTCCCAGCGAATTACGCCAACTGCCTGCCAAGGGCAGTCCAAAATATTTGTGTGTTGTGTCAGGAAGGCAATCTGTGCCAAACAAATCATGCATCTAAACACGTTTTGCTTGGGACAAGCCCAAAGACACAACAAACAACATGCAGAACATGTCCTATTAGTGGAATTGTGTTTATAAGGTTTATATATTGTGTAATGCATACCTGCTGCAACCAATTTTCCTCACACCTTCCACAGTACTCCTTCTTAATCTCTGGACAATATCTAATCATAGATAATCGTAGATTGAAAATAGCAAGTGCATAATGCTCAAGAATCTAACACAATCTCTTTTCTGCAGGCTGAGTGATGACCTACTGCAATGTATTCTAAAGACTGTAGTTCGGGAATCCTGCCTTCTCATAACCAAATGTCAGACAGTCGCTCGCGATGACTTTCAAAAGCTGCTCTCGACAGTGCCGGTATGTTTATTGCAATCTGTACAAGGAATGCAAGCTTTGCTACTGTACTCTGTTTTGGTACAAGTTTGAGATGTCACTCACTCCCTCTAGGTGGTCTCTCCTTGTCTGCGCTACCTCATGGCTGTTCAGAACCACCTCCTCAGTAACACCGTTCTTATCCGTCCAGATGATAGCGATGACAGTGACAGCTCCCTACAAGGGGAAACAATGAAGGTACAGGTAAACATCCCCTTTAAATATCCCTTTCTCTCCAAATGGAATGTTCTTTCTTTGAACTCACTGCAGCTTTATCAGTTGGATGCCGAGTTGTATTTTGAAGTTATGGTTCACTGCACAAATGTTAACAATATGCTTTCATTCAACTCTGGTTGTATTACTTAATGTGTGTGTTTGAACTCGAGATCATGGTAAAGGTATAAAACATTGCCTCCAAACATTGTGGTGCAGCAAAAATTTGGAAACAGAGTTACCGAAGTGTGGGCCTTTTCTCTGTGGCGTCCTCAGGAACTTCAAGGTAGCATCCTCTCCTTAGCAACCAAGATCCTGGTGGGATGTGATGAGGCACTGGAGACGCTGCATCAGGTGACAACTGCTCTCATTAACAGCGAGATCCCTGACAAGGAAACCAGGTGATTTAAATTTGTTTTTTTTTTTGTTTTTTTTTTTAAACTTCAGAATCTATCCTTCATTCCAAGGATTTCGTTAAAAGGTAGAAATGTGCCTTTAAAATTGGTACCATGTCATCTGAATTCACACAAAACTAGGACAATGTTGTAATGTATTTTGCTTTTGTTGTCCATAGCACTTCACTCACTGGCTAGTGTTCAGAGTCATCACTTGCGCTTGTTTTCCAAAGGTTGAAAGGTCTGGAGCAGGTTACTAAAGCCACGATGCTGGGGCACTTATTGCCTGTGTTGCTGACCTCTCTGATGCACCCCAACCTGCAGACCCTCACGCTAGCTGATGCCCTCATGCCTCAGTTAGTGCAGCTGGTGTTATACACCAGTCAGGTTTGTTCATGTTTGTATTCAATCAAAAATTAATCCTCTAGCCAAATGATACATCTATTCTTTTTGTTTTCCTTCCAGACTGCTCTGTTACTAAAGACTCAGGCTCCACTTTTCTCAGAAGAGCCACTTTTGGGGGGTTGTGTAGGGCAGGGGATGAAGACCTCCGCTGCTGAGGACAAGTGCGTTCTATGAAAGACCACCAAATAAATAGTATTGCTTAGCAAGTAGCTGAGCTTTTTTAGTAAGGTGTCAGCTGTTAAGCAAAATGTATTTTAGAAAATCCCTGTCCTTTATAGAATTCTTGATGAACGCGAGGAGCCCGGATTCCTGACAGGACTAAAGATCCCTGCCCCTTGGGCTGCTGGCAAGACGGTGGAGACAGTGCATCCAGTGCGAGACAACTATAAATTCAAGGAGACTGTGCACATCCCAGGGGCTCGCTGTTTGTACCTTCGCTTTGATTCCCGCTGCTCTTCGCAATATGACTATGACAAGGTATTTATTAAATGAGGCGTTCACAAAGCACAGTTGAAATGACTGATTGATTGCATTCAGTCATCATGAACATATTTTTCATATTTTGCCTGCTGTTCTGCACTTTGCAATGTGTTTTTTTTTTCTTAGTTGGTTATTTATGCCGGTCCCAACACTAATAGTCGTAAAGTAACAGAATATGGAGGAAACACTCTGGGATATGGCAGTCGCAGTGTTTTGGGGACAGGATGGCCCAAAGATCTTGTCAAGGTAAAATAAGCTGTGAGCAACATGTACATAGTGAACTATCCGCCATCTTAGTCTTGACTGCACACATTTATTGTCTTTGTGTAGGTTGAAGGTGACACTGTGACCTTCTCCTTTGAAATGAGAAGTGGACGAGAGCACAACACTCCCGATAAAGCCATGTGGGGGTTTTCTTGCACTGTCAGAGCTCAGGTAAAACACCATAACTTTGGCATTTTTTTAGACTCATTACATTTAGTAGTCCTGACTCTTATTTATTTTAATTAAAAATGAACACTAATATTTTGCTTATTATAATCCCACAAGCGAAAATTCAAACTCTCATTCAAATTTAGGTTCACATTTTTGTGTTGCACTCAACACTGAAGCAGACCACACACATGCAGAGATACAAGGAGAGATTTCAGAGAGAAAGGGGCTCATAAGAAATGCTGTACGTCTTGGGCTGGGGCCTGAGGACTGTGCCTTGCTCAGATGCACCTTGAAAGTGGCCAGGAAGCAGAATAGCATCTCTTACACAGCTTGTTGCTATTTTTACATCTGTCTGCAGTGGGACTTGTATATTGACCCTTCTGCTCCAAAGCCCTAATCATTACAGATGAGCTACTACTGCCCCATTACGTACGATGTTTTTTTTGTTGTTGTCATCTTTTTCAGGAGTCATCTGAGGATGTCTCTGGAGGCCTCCCTTTCCTGGCAGACCTGGCACTTGGCCTGTCAGTGCTAGCTTGCTCAATGCTGCGCATTCTATATAATGGGCCAGAGGTGACAAGAGAGGAGGACGCCTGCCATGATTTGCTGTGCTCGAAGCTGCTGCAAAGGTGATGCACAAAATAAAGCCACAACTTTAGAATTTTTATTTTGCATTACATTCATAAAATGGTTGTTTCATAAATTTGAACATAAAATAACACATGCTATGCTGTCATCCATATCTATAAAGGAAAGATGTCAAAATGAGAATACATAATGTTGACTAATTTCTTTTTCCCCAGATGTCAGTGGCAGGTCGAAGCAAATGGTGTACTCTCTCCTGCTCTCACTCCAAGTCCTTCACCTCTGCCACTAACCATTGAGGAGGACCGTGAATTCACCTACCCCGCCGATGTGCTCATTCCGCCTCCAGGCTTTACATCCGGTGCCTACTTTGACTTGCCGCGCATACGCCTCCCTCCAGGCATCATGGGAAGGTTGCGAGAGGTATCTGGAAGAGCTCGCCCACAGTTTCGTCCCAGCATTAAGTAAGGACTGCTTGCCAGCTATACAGTGTTTTGTTTCATAATGCATCTTTTTTATGGTCATTATACAATTTTTACTACATGTTTTAGAGTATATATTGTATTCTCGTCAATAAATATAAGCATTCAATTTGCAACGGTTTCATTCCTGAAAGAGAGGTGATCCGACCAGATGTCATGGAGGAGGTTATAGTGTCATGTGTCATAAAGCATCTCAGTTTGGTGGATGGCCTGCAGTCACTTGTCAACTACCAGTACCGTGAAGACCACACAGAAGAGTTTGACCTGGTCTGTAAGATCATGGCAGAGACCTTCAAAAAGATAAATGCGATGGAGCGTCAACTGCAGGTAAGCTTTTTTTTTTTTTAAAGAGAGACTGAGAGAGTGACCATCAGATAACATTAGTTTTGCTTTCTGACATGCAAACATATCCAGTTGGGCACAATTTTTACCTTTTAATATAACGTGAATCTCTGTCAATATGCCAACATTACCAAAATAAACTTTAATTATCTTCCATGTTGGATGCAGAGTGTAGCAGAATTGGAGCAGAAGTGGCAGAATGAGGTAGAGGAGGCCCAGCAGGGAAAGCTGGACAACAACACTCCTTTCTTTCATGACTACCACTTCTTTGAGGTATCCTGCCGAAAAATGCATTTCACACTGTACTATAATTTGATGTTCATGTTTTCCTCTTGTTTCCTCAGGCTAAGATTAAAGAGCTTGAACTACTTTGCTCCCTGAAAGATGTCCCCCTTGATTTTAGTGACTTGGAAAATGTTGTCCTTGGATTGAGGCCAGTTAAATGCAGTAATGCTTCACCTATGACAGTATAACAAAATCTATAACCACTTCTATATCTGCCCCAACAGAGAGAAGTTCTTTCATGAGGTAAACACCATGAACCTTAAAAGTAGCACCCCACTGGTTAAAACTAAGGCACTTGTGAAGAGTTTGATGAACCGTACAGAGCTACTGCTACATGTTACCATTGCACCACATTGCAGAAGCTTAACCACAACGCCTGTTGGAACACCAGGCACAGGTAGATATCCTCCTTTGATCCTAATTGAAGTATGCAAACTGAATTTCTGTGTGTTTAAGTTTTCCAACGTTGGAAAATGTTTGTGTTTTTCCCTTACCTTTTGTATCAGCTTCTAAGTCTGTATCAGACGGCAAGACTGCCCTCTCGATTGTGAAGCAGCCAGTCTTCCTGCGCAGCATGTCTGCACCCTCTGACTTAGAGATGATTGCTAACCAAGATTTGGAGTTTACACATGCTACTCAAAGGTTTTTTTCTCTTCTGTTTTGTTTGATGAATTAACCCTTAAATAAAGAAATAAATGTTTTTTTCATTTGTCCGTTTTTTCTGCAGGAGGCGACATCACCCTACCAGTCATCGCAGTAGCTCATTTACACTGCTGCAGTCTCTGGCAGTTGAAGACAGTAAAGATAAGCCAACATACAGTGTTCTACTGGGTCAGCTCTTTGCATTTATCGGCACTACACCTGATCAAGCCGTAAGTCTGTTGCTTAATAGACCATTTCACATAACTGGAATTGCATGCACTGACCTGAGATGGAAAAAGTACCCACGGTTTATAGATTTTAGTAAAAGTACAGGTAGCTCTACTGTACTTGTGTTAAAAAAAATGATAAAAGTAAAAGTACTGTTTTTAAAACCTTAAATTACATACAAGAAAAAAGTGCAGACTCTGAAATGTTAAGAGGTAACAATTGTTTTATCCTACCCGTTAATTTTATACAATACTCATTTAGGAAAACAGCTGGAAAAAAATGCACCCAAAATAGTTGATCTTTTGTGAATTTACATGCTTTTACTGAGAAGCAAAAAGAATCATGGCTTTGCTAACATGAACTGACTAACAAGAAATGCAAATTTAGCAAGTATTTACACCTTACCTGTCACTGTTTTTCTCAACTTGGATAGAAGCTTGTGGTTTTTAGACTGATACAGGACACAACATATTTGCCAACAATGATTCTTGGAGCTGACAATATCAAACACTTGTCTTAAGTAAGGCCATGGATGGGGAATGTCTTGCTTTGGTGGAATTAGGACTGTCTGTACCAAATCATTTTTATTTGATTATTCTATCGATTTTTTCCATCGATTACTCTATTACTATTATGACAGTATACGGAGTACAAAGTACAAATATCTCTTATCAAATGTAGGGAGTAAAAGTAAAAAGTCACCAGAAAATGAATAAAAATAAATACTGAAGTACAGTCAACATAATTACAGTCATGAAATAATTGTACTCTGTTACTTCCCACCACTGACTATGATAAATATCCATTATTTGTGTAGGTATCAAGCAGCAGTTTCCTGTCTGCGGCGCAGACACGTTGGCACCGTGGGAGCACACGAAGGCAGGCGCTTGTCCATATGAGAGAGCTGCTCACCGCTGCTGTCAGAGTGGGTGGGGTCACCCACCTCGTTGGGCCTGTTACTATGGTCTTGCAAGGGGGTCCAAGGTAAATAAAGGATTCAGCAACACAAAACCACTCGTGCATTGTGTACAACTCTCTTCCTCTACTGTCTTTGTAAATCTGTTTAATGCATACAGGATTGAGGAGCTGACCTGTGGTGGAATGGTAGAGCAGGTGCAGGAGGCCTTTGGGGAGACGATGACGTCTGTTGTCTCTCTTTGTGCTCGCTACCCCATTGCCTGTGCCAACAGTATCGGCTTACTTTGCACAATACCCTACACAAGGCAAGAAACTTATGATCTCTCCAATTGTCCCCGCATATCCTTTTCACAAAATATTCACCATGCTTATCCTTATTTGTTGCATTTCTTTCCATAGGAGCGAGGAGCAGTGTCTAGTTCGGAGTGGGCTGGTTCAGCTAATGGACAGCTTATGTAGCTTGAGTGGTCAGAGGGAGTGCAGCTCAAATGAGAAGCAGACCAAAAAGCAGAAGGTAGCCACCATGGCCTGGGCAGCTTTTCAGGTGCTTGCTAACCGCTGCATTGAGTGGGAGAAAGTGGAAGGTAAGGTAAAATATTATACAGGACTGTAATAATATTGATGTAATGATGGCCTTATCTTGCACTTTTAGAATTTTTGTAACATCAGCTTGTGCACTGACTATTATTTTTTCAGCGGTAGTATTTTGTTTTTCCACTTTCTTAAAGGTGGCTCGACAGATGGAGTACATTCTGGGTTGGCTCGGCAGGTGTCCAGTTTGCTGACCAATCATCTGGCCAGAGCTACCGAGTGCTGTGGGAATCAAGCAGCTGGCAATGATGCCTTGCAAGATGTGCTCAGTCTTCTCAATGACCTTTCCAGGTAAGTTTTGTCATGTTAGATATGTATGTACTTACTACGTCTGTGAGTGTATTTATACAGTAAATGTTTTTTACATTTCATTCCAGGAGCCACATAGGAAAAGCTATCCTGAGCCAACCAGCCTGTGTTTCGAAGCTCTTGTCTTTGCTGCTTGACCAGAGACCTTCCCCAAAGCTGGTGCTCATCATCCTGCAACTTTGTCGAGCTGCCTTGCCTCTCATGAGCGTGGAAGACTGTGGTAACGTGGCCCTACCATCATGGAGCTTTTCTATTAACACGCTCGAAGCGGAGCAACAAGATGCTAACGACCCAGCCTCACGTATCGCTGCTTTGCTGCTGGCCAAGCTGGCAGACTATGTGGTGCCAGGTTTGTTGCTCTCGTCATTGAAAAACAATACTTGTGGGGTACTTTCTCAAAACTGTAAATGCTAAATAACACATGAGATGAATATTTTCTACTAATGTTGACGACTCCTCACCAGGCTGCCAGACCTTGTTGTCTCCCAGCTCTTCTGAGCCAGATACTAGTCTGTCTCGAGCCAGTTCCAAAGGAGCCCTGAAGGCTGAAGATATTGGGGAAGAAGGTGAAGCAGTTGATGGTAAACTATCGATCTTCATCCACAAGAGAGAGGATCAATCCTCTCACGAGGTTCTTCAACCACTTCTAAGGTAAGATCCATCTTGAAAGTTATCTTAGTAAGATTAGTGACTGTTTTTGAGTTTCACAATTTTAGCCTACTCAAGATTTTCTGAACATGTGTATTCTCTCTCCCTTTCTAAAATGTAGCAGTTCTGAGGGACGCCCCTTTCGGCTTGGCACTGGTGCAAACATGGAAAAGGTTGTCAAAATGGACAGAGAGATGACCAAAGTAAGACCTGCAATACAATTTCTGTTTTTTTTCCCCCCAGTTCTAAATGTTCCTACTTTTTTAGAGTGGACACTGTGAGGTGATCACAGAGGAAGCATCTGCTGCACTGAGGAAGGCCACTAAATGGGCTCAGTCTGGTCTGATAGTGAGTGTTGGTCCGCCTGTAGAGACTCTGACACAGGAGACTGCTGGAGGCATCACAACGGGCGACAAGAAGAAAACTGCCCAAACATCTGCTTGTAGGGACAGGAACACTGAGCTGGCCAGGTACTACGACGAATACAGTATATGGAAGCAATAATGTCTTTTGTGTAACCTTAGTGCCTAAAATCTTGGACAAAATGAGTCAGAATTATGTCAAAGCGACTAACTGAACATTGTGTCATCTACAGGTCGGATCCTGTCAGGCCGTTCATCAGTGGGCATGTTGCCAACAGTATGGCTGCTGAGGTTATTGCTCTGTTGCATAGTCTACTTACTGCTCCGGAGTCAAACACGGCACAAATCTGGACGAGCACTGCTGAAAAAGTAAATTTAACTTATGTTTCCTGCTTTCTTTGTGACATTCAGAAACCAGTAAAAGCAGTCGAATCTTAAGGGCCTGATGAACTAAATCGGCGCAACCTTGATTGCTCACGCAAACAGACGTGGAAGCTGATCTATGAAGAGGCACCATCCAAACTGCAATATTGCCCCGCAGTTCATTTTGCACATTATGTGAAGAGTAAATGCAAACAGATTAAGGAGTATATTTTCCCATCCGCGCTTCTGTGCGGCCCAAAAAAGTGCCTAGCAGCGTGCCTTTTTTGACTGAAGCACATGGGAGAATATGACCCTAATTTAGCGCATGCAATATTATGTGATTAGTCAAACCAGAGACTAATTTCGATGGCTGATATTGCATCTTGAAAAACAGCATCTGAAAGGAAGTTGTGCACAGCACCGCTCTACGTCACCATAGCGAGGAGATTGAGGCAAAATGAGAGACAAGGCAAACAGATCTTTTCTGCTTGTGTAAAAATGTTTCAAATGTCAGAAACAAATATTATGATGGCACATCATGTATTCAACAATACAATTTTGGAAGTTCTGATAAATCCAAGGGCTTTACCAGTTACCAATGAGAAAATGTAATTTAACTCTGAATTTCCTTGTCTGGTTCATATCAGTGCACTGTGACCACTGCCTGGTGCTGGCCTCTCCCATTTCAGTTTTTTGAGTGTGTTATTTTTAATTCACTGTTGTGCTGGATTGGCACTCTGGATGAGTTAAACGAAGAAAAACATGGCTTTTATGCAGTTTGCCTGCTTCACCAAAATTGTTGGAGCGTTAGGTTTCTTTTTTGGAAGCCATATGTCGGTTTCTTTCACTAACACTTCCAATTCCGTCACATTTTTTACTTGCTGTGCTCTCCCAAATTTTCCATGTTGAAATCCACCAAAGCTACCTGAAGCGCAGAACTCTCTTTCATTACATTCATTTTGTCACTTGTTGTCAACAGCACACACAATAAGTTGGTAAGTGAGGACGCAATTCAGTGCCCACTATTTGGGATCTTCGTAAATCAGGCCTCCAATGTTGAATCGTTTTCTTCAGCATACAGTATAAATGTTTTCTCTGTGTTTATCTTTAGGTCCTGTCCAGGGCACTGATGTTCATCCCTCAATTGGGGAAGTATGCAGAGAGTATTTTGGAAAACGGGAGCAGCAGTGGTAGGAAGCTGGCTAAGCTTCAGGCCATTGGCAGGCAGGCGGTTGCTGCACTCTGTGCTCTGGGTGGCTTCAAAGAAACCATTAAAATAGGGTCTGAGGTCCAGGTAAAGGATACAAGTTAATCTACTATTTATTTTTAATCATATCATTGATAAACTCCTTTCAACATCTTAGCATATATCTCATGTCTACAGGTCATAGGTAAAGGAGTGCTTGGCAGTGTGGGTATTGTGATGTCTATCAATGAGCAAGAGGGCATTGCAACTGTCAAATTCCCCTCTTGTGACTACAGGAGAACTTGTAAAGCCTCAGATGTGCTGACAGTACCAATATCACGCCTGTGTACACCCAGATCTGAAGTAAGACTTCCTCCCTGTAGCTTAATCACCTTTATCGTTTAATGGAAAACAATATTCTGATTCTCACCTGATCCTTCTTCCCATTCCTCAGGCATTGCCCTTGTACAAGCTATCGATCACTGAGAAGGTAGTGCAAGCAGTGCAATCCATGCTTCTGCCACAGGAGGGCAGCCTGTCCATTCACACCTCTCTACCAGCTTCTGGAGATGGATCCAGCCCGGTGATGGCTGCAGTTCGCTTGCTTGCTGAAATTAGAACCAGGTCAGTTAAAAATCAGTCCTTCCAAGCGTTCCCCCCCCCACCCCCCCCCCCCCCGGAAACCCACTTTACT